TCCAAAACAAATAAACTGTTTTTACCTAAGATAAAGTTTTAAATTTGAGAGATGAATGCAATTAGCTAAAGCGGAACATAAACCTGATATACTACTTACACCAATTTAATTATTACTTTTTAAATAAAAGAAAAAATAGATTATAAATAAGTTATTTAGAAAGTAAGAAGAAATAAAAACACAAGCACAATAAAAATTTAAAAATATTAATAAATCTAATTAAAACTAATAAACAAATTAAAAGACTTTAATTATTTTAAATTCATTTTTAGAAATAGAAATATCACAATCCAAAATAAATGAACAATTTTTAATCAAATAAAAGTGTTAGAAGGAAAAAATTTATAAAAAAATATGATAAATTTAAAAAATTTAAAGTGTATAAAATTACTAAAATAATTTTTTAAAAATAATATATGAATTATGGTGATAATTAAAAAATAATATTTTTAATAAACTGAACATTTAATATAAAGAAAATATTAATAATAGTAATATTTGTAAATTAATTATTATACCTCAGATCAATATGGAGAGCCTAATAAGATTAAAGTGAAGAGTTTAAAATCTTTTTTTATTTTTAAAAATAAATTGAAAGAATTATAATAAAAAATAAGAAATTACTTCTTCAAATTCGTAAAAATATTTAATCTATTATATCATTTATTTTTTTTTTTTTTCTAAAATATTGAATAAAAATTTATGAAAATTTAATTAATTAATTATGAGTAAATAAAAATAAAAAATAAATTATATGAATTTATAAATTAGATTTAATTAAATGAAATTACAAAAAAGATAATGTAACTAACTAACTTCGATTATTAAATCTTATTATTTCTATTTAAAATGTGTAGTTAAAAATATTGTAGGAACTAGAGATTGGATATAAAGGATATTTAGAATGCAAACTCACTAGAATAAAAAAATTTTTGACATATTTATGAATAAATTTAATTTATGAACTATAATTTATTTAATAAGCTATCTACTAACTTACCAAAATAAATATGATATTCATAAATATAAATATAAATATAAAAATAAATCTATTTATCTATATTTGGTTAAATTATCTTATTACAAAATATTATATAAGAAAACATATTATTTTCTGCTATTCATATATTTAATATTTATTCATCCATTTTCATCACTTGTATATCACCAGAAATTTATTTTAAAGAAAACTAATCTTTTTGATTTAAGATACTTGCTTTTTACTTTCAATTATTATTATACATTGATTTACTTTCTATTTTTATGTTAAATTAAATTAAAAAAAATACTAAAAAAAATTAAATAAAATTTTTTAATTAAAATTTTCTTTAAAATTAAATAAAAAAGCAATAGCAAAATAGAAAAGAAAAAGATAATTAAAACCAATAAAAATCATTAAACAAATTAATAGAGTTTAATTAATTTAAATTCATTTTTATAAATAGAAATATCACAATCCAAAACAAATAAACTGTTTTTACCCAAGATAAAGTGTCAAATTTGAGAGATTAGTGCAATTTGCTAAAGCAAAACCGAAGCCTGAAATACTTTAATTACCAATTTTATTACCACTTTTTAAATATTGAAGAAAAAATATATAATAAATATGTTTTTTAGAAAGAAAAATAGAAAAAAATATCAAATTATCAGAAATGAATTAACAAATAATATAAGAAAATGTTGAAAATTAAAAATGAGTGAAATTATAAAAGATAGAAGAAAAAAACACAAGTTATTATAAATTCATTTTTATAAATAGAAATATCACAATCCTAAACAAATAAACTGTTTTTACCAAAGATAAAGTGTCAAATTGTAGAGATTAGTGCAATTTGTTAGAGCAGTTTCTAAGCCTGAAATACCTTAATCATCAATTTAATTTCCACTTTTTAAATTTTGAAGAAAAAATATATAATTTTTAATTTATTTAGAAGGAAAAAATGAAGAAAAAATATGAAATTATAAGAAATGAATGAACAAATAATAAAAGCAAATGTTGAAAATAAAAAATGAGTAAAATTAAGAAAAATAGAAGAAAAAAACACAGTATAATAAAAAATAAAAAGATTAATAAATCTAATAAAGCTAATAAACAATTTAAAAGGGTTAAATTGTTTTAAATTCTTTTTTATAAATAGAAATATCACAATCCAAAACAAATAATATGTTTTTACCTAAGATCAAGTGTCAAATTTGAGAGATTACTGTAATTTGCTAAAGCAGAACCTAAACCTGACGCACCACTTGCATCAATTTAATTATAACTTTTTAAATATTGAAGAAAAAATATATAATTAATAATTTATTAAGAAACATAGAAGAAATACAAATACAAGTACAATAAAAAAGAAAAAGATAAATAAATTTTATAAAAAGCTAATAAACAAATTAAAAGAGTTTAATTGTCATAAATTCATTTTTATAAATATAAATATCACAATCCAAAACAAATAAACTGTTTTTACCTAAGATAAAGTTACAAATTTGAGAGATTAGTGCAATTTGCTAAAGCAGTTCCTACACCTGATGCCCCACTTGCACCAATTTAATTAAAACTTTTTAAATATTGAAGAAAAAATATATTATTAATAAGTTATTTAAAAAGATAAAAGAAATAAAAACACAAGTATAAATTCATTTTTATAAAAAGAAAAATCACAATCTAACACAAATAAACTGTTTTTACCCAAGAAAAAGTGTCAAATTTGAGAGAGTAGTGCAATTTGCTAAAGCAATTCCTAAGCCTAAAGTACCTTAATTACCAATTTAGTTTCTACTATATAATTAATTAATAATTTATTTAGAAGGAAAAAATGAAGAAAAATATGAAATTATAAGAAGTGAATTAACAAATAAAAAGCATATGTTGAAAACAAAAAAATAAGTGAAATTATGAAAGATGGGAGAAAATAAACATAAACAAGTACAATAAATAAGAAATAGATTAATAAATCTAATAAAAAGCTAACAAACAAATTAAAATAATTTAATTGTTTTAAATTCATTTTATAAATAGAAATAATATATATAGAGAAATAGGAAGTCTGGGACTTTTGGAAGAAAAATAATAATCCCCAAAGCCATCATCACCCAAAGTGATGTCCTTGGGGATGATTATTTTTCTTCTAAAAATCCTGAGACAAAGTTCATATTTCTCTTTATATAATATGATAATCTTAAACAAATTAACTGTTTTTACATAAGATCAAGTGTTAAATTTTAGAGATTAGTGCAATTTGCTAAAGCAGAACCTAAGTCTGAAGCACCTGAATAACCAATTTCATTTCCGCTTTTTAAATATTGAAGGAAAAATATACAATAAATAAGTTTTTTAGAAGGAAAAAAAGAAGAAAGATATGAAATTATCAGAAATGAATTAACAAATAATAAAAGCAAATGTTGAAAATAAAAAATGAGTGAAATTAAGAAAGATAGAATAAAAAAACACAAGTGGAATAAAAAAGAAAAAGATTAATAAATCTAATAATAAGCTCATAAACAAATTAAAAAAGTTTAAAAATTAATTTTTATAAATATAAATATCACAATCCAAAACAGAACAAATAAACTGTTTTTACCCAAGATAAAGCCTCAAATTTGAGAGATTACTGCAATTTGCTAAACCAGTTCCTAATCCTGAAGTACCTTAATCACCAATTTAATTTCCACTTTTTAAATGATAATTAAAAAATAAATAATTAATATGTTATTTAGAAAGAAAAAATGAAGAAAAAATATGAAATTATAAGAAATGAATTAACAAATAATAAAAGCAAATGTTGAAAATATAAAAAAGAGTGAAATTATAAAAGATAGAAGAAATAAAAACTCATGTATAATTAAAAGAAAAAGATTAATAAATCTAATAAAAAAGCTAATAAACAAATAAAAGAGTATAAATATTTTAAATTCATTCCTATAAATAGAAATATAACAAAATAAATAAACTGTTTTACCTAAGATCAAGTTTCAAATTTGAGAGATTACTGCAATTTGATAATGCAGAACCTAAGCCTGAAGTACCTTAATCACCAAATTAATTTCCACTTTTAAAATATTGAAGAAAAAATATATAATTAATAAGTTATTTAGAAAAATAGAAGAAATATAAACACAAATACAATAAAAAGAAAAAGATTAATAAATCTAATTAAAAGCTAATAAACAAATAAAAAGAGTTTATTTGTTTTTAATTGATATTTATAAATAGAAATATAATCATCTAAACAAATAAACTATTTTTACCGAAGATCAAGTGTCAAATTTGAGAGATTAATGCAATTTGCTAAGGCAGAATCTAAGCCTGATGCACCACTTGAACCAATTTAATTAGAACTTTTTAAATTTAAAAATTAAATATAATTAATAAGTTATAAAGAAAGAAAGAAGAAATAAAAACAAAGTACAATAAAAAAGAAAAAGAATAATAAATCTAATTATAGCTAATAAAAAAATAAAAATATTTTAATTGTTTTAAATTAATTTTTATAAATAGAGATATCATAATCCAAAGCAAATAAACTGTTTTTACCGAAGATCAAGTGTCAAATTTGAGAGATTAATGCAATTTGCTAAAGCAGAACATAAGCCTGATGTACCACTTGCACCAATTTAATTAGAACTTTTTAAATTATAAAAAATAAATATAATTAATAAGTTATAAAGAAAGAAAGAAGAAATAAAAAAAAAGTAAAATAAAAAAGAAAAAGAGTAATCAATCTAATTAAAAGCTAATAAACAAATAAAAAAAGTTTAATTACTTTAAATTCATTTTTATAAATAGAAATATCATAATCCAAAACAAATAAACTGTTTTTACCTAAGATCAAGTGTCAAATTTGAGATTTTAGTGCAATTTCCTAAAGCAGAACCTAAGCCTGATGCACCACTTACACCAATTTAGTTAGAACTTTTTAAATATTCAAGTAAAAAAATAGAATTGATAAGTTATTTAGAAGGATAGAAGAAATAAATAGAAGTACAATAAAAAAGAAAAAGATTAATAAATCGAATAAAAGCTAATAAAGAAATTAAAAGAGTTTAATTATTTTTAATTGATTCTAAAAAATAGAAATATCAAAATCCAAAACAAATAAACTGTTTTTACCTAAGATAAAGTGTCAAATTTGAGAGATTAATGCAATTTGCTAAGGCAGAACCTAAGCCTGATACACCCCTTGCACCAATTTTATTTCCACTTTTTAAACAATTAAGAAAAAATATATAATTAATAAAATTATTTAGAAAGATAGAAGAAATACAAACACAAGTATAATAAAAAAGAAAAAGATTAATAAATCTAATAAAAAGTTAATAATGAAATTAAAAGAGTTTAATTGTTTTAAATTAATTTTTATCAATAAAAATATCACAATCCAAATCAAATAAACTGTTATTACCCAAGATAAAGTGCCAAATTAGAGAGATTAGTGCAATTTGCTAAAGCATTTCCTAAGCCTGAAGTACCTTAATCACCAATTTAGTTTCCACTTTTTAAATGATGATTAAAAAATATATATAATTAATAAGTTATTTAGAACGAAAAAATGAAGAAAAAATATGAAATTATATAAATTAATTAATAAATATTAAAAGCAATAGTTAAAAATATAAAAGAGAGTGAAATTATAAAAGAAATAAAAGCACAAGTACAATAAAAAAGATTAATAAATCTAATAAAAAGCTAATAAACAAATTAAAAGAGTTTAATTATTTTAAATTCATTCTTATAAATAGAATTATCACAATCCAAAACAAATAAACTGCTTTTACCCAAGATTAAGTGTCAAATTTGAGAGATTAGTGCAATTTTTTAGAGCAGAACCTAAGCCTGATGCACCACTTGCACCAATTTAGTTAGAACTTTTTAATATTGAATAAAAAATATATAATTAATAAGTTATTTAGAAAGATAGAAGAATACAAACACAATTAAAATAAAAAAAAAGATTTATAAATCTAATTAAAAGCTAATAAACAAATAAAAAGAGTTTATTTGTTTTAAATTCATTTTTATAAATAGAAATATCTTAATCCAAAGCAAATAAACTGTTTTTACCGAAGATCAAGTGTCAAATTTGAAAGATTAATGCAATTTGCTAAAGCAGAACCTAAGCCTGATGCACCACTTGGACCAATTTAGAAGGGCTAAGCGACTCGAGTGGGCGAGTCGGAGGGTCTTAGCAGTGATATCGGGGGTTCGAATCCTATACCGCCCCCTTTATTTCGAAAAATTCCATGTAAAAATGTGAATGTTACCAGCGGTCTCCTTGGTAGGAGGGAAGGGCCAAATCTGATAGGTGGTAAAGAGGAGGCCCCATTCTGAACAGAAGATCTGGAATACAAATGGGAAGCGAGCATAATGCGTAGTCAAATCATGGAAGATTAGTAGAAATGCCATTAGGGTGTAGGTGACCCTTCCCTTCTAATATATTACCCACAATTATATATAAATAAATTGGTATACGTATAATAATAATGTATAAGTAATTATATATAGGGCCCCTATCCCGAGTGCATGTCACCATGTGCGAGTATGTATGTATGTATGTATGTATGTATGTATGTATGTATGTATGTATGTATGTATGTATGGACCAATTTAATTCGAACTTTTTAAATATTGAATAAAAAATAATAATTAATAAATTATTTAGAAAGATAGAAGAAATACAAATGCAAGTACAATAAAAAAGAAAAAGATTAATAAATCTAATTAAAGCTAATAAATAAATTAAAAAAGTTTAATTGTTTTAAATTCATTTTTATAAATAGAAATAAACAATCCAAACAAATAAACTGTTTTTACCTAAGATAAAGTGTCAAATTTGAGAGATGAATGCAATTTGCTAAAGCAGAACATAAACCGGATACACTACTTACACCAATTTAATTAGAACTTTTTAAATAGAAGAAAAATAAATAAGTTATTTAGAAAGAAAGAAGAAATAAAAACACAACACAATAAAAATTAAGAAAGAATAATAAATCCAATTAAAATTAATAAACAAATTAAAAGAGTTTAATTGTTTTAAATTCATTTTTAAATAGAAATATCACAATCCAAAATAAATTAACAATTTTTAATCAAATAAAAGTATTAGAAGGAAAAAATGTATCAAAAATATATGATAAATTTAAAAAATTTAAAGAGAATAAAATTACTTAAAAAACTTTTTTTTAAATAATGTTTGAATATAGGTGATAATTTCTATTAGAAAAATAATATTAACTGAACATTAAGTAT